GTTTGTTATAATGCTTTGCCTTTCAAGTAGAGAAGCTGTGAATTTGACGCCCTTTACGCGATTCAGTTCGTAGAGATCGTTTGATCTCTGTTAATTTATTTATATACATAAAATCCCCGGAAATCAAAAGTGAATTAACGATTTATCCGAAGTGAGGCGTTTCAACATTTTTGAATTATTGTCTGTAAAATAAATACAAATTTTTGATAGTGAAGAATATATATAGTACATGTGATATATTGTAAATATTTAAAATTAACAGATATATAATCCACGGAGATCAAAAGTGAATTAACGATTTAGCAATTTATCCGAAGTGAGGCGTTTCAACATTTTTGAATTACTGTCTGTAAAATAAATACAAATTTTTGATAGTGAAGGAAATTCAACTGTGTGCAATGTGCTTTTCAATACGAATTGATAGGGAAAATATTAGAAAAGAGATACAGAGGTGGACGAAAGTATTCGCACACCAAAAATTGTCGATATTTTGGACTGCTGCAATTGGATTTGCAACTTTATGCATTTTATGCATGTCGCTTGATAAAAGCTATGCCTGATAACAATATATTCTACAACGTTCGTTGGAGTTTAAATCATAATTTAACAAATAGACGACTCAGATACGAAAGTCACGAAATGAAACTATAAAAATTAATCAGCAGAAAGTCATAACGAATTACCACTCTGCCGTGATAGTTATCAGTGAAACGTCGAGAATTATTAAATTCCGTTGCGTATTGTACCTGGACGTCTAGAAACTGGTAACAAGTTTGCAACTTCCAAGTATTTACCCGCTATTCATCTACATCTAGGAATTCGTAGCGAAATTGCTTCGACCCCATCGATTTCCTTCGAGGTTAATTGATTTAGCAGCTGAAACATGAAAATCACTGAGGAGATCAAACTATGAAAATCAGCTAGGAAAGTCACAATAAATTACTATTACTCTGCCGTAATAGTTGTTAATAAATTATCGAAAATTATTGAACTCCGTTGTACGTCCACTAGACGTCTAGAAGGACTGTTTGCAACTTCCAAGTGTTTACCTGCCATTCATCTATATATCTAGGAATTCGTAGCGAAATTGATTCTCGACCTTAATTAATTTAGCAGTTGACCGGCTCAGACATGAAAATCACGAGCAGATCGAACTATGGGAACCAACAGGAAGTCATAACGAATTATCACTCTGCCGTAATAGTTATTAATAAATGATCGAGACTCATTAAATTCCTATTATAGACCTAGACGTCTAGAAACTGAAATTTGCAAGTGTTTACCTGCAATTCATCTATGTATCTAGGAATTCGTAGCGAAATTGGCTCTCGATCCCGTTAGGTTTTCTTTCAACGACGTTACCCGCGATTAAACTCCGTGGCCAGCAAAGCGACGGAAATTGATACAACGAGGTTGTTCTTACCGCGCCATCGGGTGCCAGCGATGGTCGTCGACCAATAGGAGCCTGCCGGTTGGCAATGCCACGACTTCCGGCAGAATTATTGTCGGAGTTGTCGCTATTAACGGAAATGCGGAACTACGAAACCATAGAAGCCGAGAGCCGTGGGTGGAATCGTTCTCGAAATCCGTGAAAGCGGTTACACGACGGCAAACGACCGCGAATTGCATTCCCCTTTGTCCTCTGCTCTCTTGTCTCGCCGTTTCATCTCGCTCCCTCCTCTTCTTCTGTTTTTCCCTCTTCGCGGCCCCTCTTTTATAGTTTTGTTTTCCGTCCGGCGCTTTAAGTTCCGCTGAACTGCCTCGATAATTGTGTAACCGTTTTACCCCCTACGCGATTTTTCACGGCATTTCACGGCATTTGACGCAGTTACTAGAAAAAAAAAAAAAAAAAAAAAAAAA